AACCAGAACAGTGTTTCACAAATAAGAAGTGTGAGAGAAAGATCTATTAGAACTTAAAGTTACATTTAGCAGTTTCAGAAGTAAACTGATGAGACCTAACTGCCAATCTAGTATGACACTTAAATTCATGAAGTTGAGGTACCAAAGACAAAAGCTTGTAAGAACAATTACCATAATATTTATAAAAAAAAAAAAAAAGGTACCAAGAATCTATTATGGGAGTGAGAAAGTGATGGAAGCTGAGATGACATTGCAGATTCTTAGAATTTTTTTGTCAAGAATTTCTAGATATATAGTGATATTTAGCTACTCCCCCATGAGGGTTACATGTGGCACAAGGCTGGGTTTAACGTGGGATCTCCGAGCCTGTAGGCTCGGCCAAAAATTTTCCCTCTTTGAACCCGCATAAATGGGTTCAGGGGTAGTCAACCACCCTGAACAAGACACTGCCCTTCAGCGGAGCCTCATCCGGGTTCCTCTCACCCGAAGGCAGAGAGTTAGACTGTTAGCCAAATTAGTTCTAGATATATAGTTGGAGCACCAGACCAGATATGGCAAACATATTCAATGCATGGATGAATGGTAGACTCATAAATGTACAAGATAGATTCTGGTGAGGAAAATTGTCTAGCATGACACAGTGAACCAAAATTTTATTGAAAAATATTTTGGGCAGTAGTAAAGAAACAAAGTGACATTGTTGACAGCTCACTTTCAGGACTTTACTATTGCCTCAGTTCCATTCTGAACAGAAAATTATTTTTTCTTTCTACTTGCAAAATGGAATTCTGTTTCCTAAATCAAATGAATTCTGTTCAGTAAATATAAAGTTTACCACCATGAAATGTCTTTTCTAATGGTGACTTAACTTCAGAATAATCCAATAACTTTTAAAGTAGGATCTGCTTGCTTGTCAGTTTTTCAAAAGTATTGTACAAAGTCAATCAACCTGTCTGCTCCCAAAGACCGTTCTGTCATTTCTGGTTATAGCTCTCAATTATAGTCAAAGTATGCACAAGACATGAAAGATAAAATTAATAAAGATGAAAACAAAGAAATCTCTCGTGAAATTATGTGAAGGATTTTTGAACAAAACTAAGTTATCAACCAGGATCAAATGTTTGTTATTTATAGCACAAGGGAAAACTACAAATTATAATGTTTGAAAATCATAAAAAAATCTATTAAATAAAAGAGAATGAAATAATGTTGGTTTGGTTTACAGCATATCAACTTCAATTGGTTATTTAATGCTGACAAGTCTTTTTATTGCTGGTAATACTTTTTTCTAAAAATGTATTGCTGGTAATATTTTTTTTCTTCATAAATGTGTTGCTGGCAATATTTTTTTTCAAAAATGTATTGTAGCTAATATTTCCCTCCAAAATTTATTGCTGGCAATAAAGTAACATTTATTTTCTTCAAAAATATATTGCTGGTATTTTTCTTCAAAACGTTTATCACTGGTATTAAGACTTATTTTTACACTTTCATAGTGCTTTGACCCCAATTTGGTGGTTAACTATTTGCCCATAGTTGAGACCCTAACAGGTGTTACCACCCCAGGTCAGGGTGGACCTAGGAACATCAGCAATTAAGAGGTGGTTCCATGCTCTTCAAAACCTCCTCAACAGAGTCTTTGCTGTCGGATGTAGTTTATTGTCTTACCCAGGACGCGGAAGTAGTTTGTCATACCCAGGATGTAAATAATGTTGACGCGCAGGCATGCATAAGAGCATGAGCTATTGTACATAGAACCTTCCTAAAAAATATTAAAAAAAAATTCTAGCACTGTAAATATTAAACACAACTATATATAAAACCAATAATAACAGGTACAAAAGAGGTAAACAATTTCAAAATTGTGCTTTGAGCTTATCGATATATTATCTATTCATAGACCTATCATGACATTATATAAATAACCTCAAGGTGCATTATTTTAAAAACAAGATATCTAATTACTTGTACATACACATACTAGAGAGGACATTGTTTATTGATTCTTTTACTCTCAGTATCTCTCCAGTTGATATTTCAAGAGATACAAATATTGCCACTTGCTTCTGGATATCAGTATATTTGGATAGATGAAATCTTTATTTATCAATTCAGAGATGAATTCTATTATCATATATATATATATATATATATATATATATAGGAGAGAGAGATAGATAATAATATAAAATCCTTAAGTGGTAGGTCTTTTTAATATAAAATATTAAAAAGACAGATCCATAAACAGAGCTCAATTTGTTTATATACAGAGCAATATGATATGCATCAAAGAAAAAACCCTAATACATCAAAGAATTTGGTAATAAATTTATTTTGACAGATAAGAATTTGGTAATAAATTTATTTTGACAGATAAGTTTAAATAAATGTCTAAATTACTTGACCTAGAAAAATTTTCATGGGATTTCCATTATTGAGGAGAGTAGTAGGGAAAAGAAGAAGTTGTTAGCACAATGTACAGGGGTAAGAGAGGAAAGTACAAGTGAGAGCTAGTGAAATACATTGGAATTAAATAACAATTTATATCCTCATCATCTAATTTATGGCAGTATAATAATAAAAAAGTGAGAAAAATTAATATCCAACAAAAAAAAAAAAAAAAAACTTAAATTTATTATATCTAAAAAAAACTTATCTGTCAAAATAAAGGTAACATCAATCAGTTAAGTAACAAATCTTTCACACATATATTTATTAGTGAATATATATAATATCCAACGTCGATAACACTACTTGGAGCTTCATGCAGTTAATACAATCTTCATAACATTAAGCACTGTATTTATAACACCTTAGGAATAAATATACTTATGCACATGCAAGTATTTATGTGTGTGTATGTACATTTTTTTTCCTACACATTATATATTTTAAATAAAAACAGACCACTTTAAGGTTCTATGTAATAAATTATTTCATGGAACCTTAAAGTGGTCTATTGTTATTTAAATTATTTGCTCTGTATTTACACTGAGTTCTCTGGATTTTATCCACCTTGGGTTTGCCCATATGGATTACCTAGTTTTTAAATTATATATATATATATATATATATATATATATATATATATATATATATGGTATATATATATATATATATATATATTTTTATATATATAAATTTTATATAACCTGTTTTTCTGGAGGAAAGATGTATGATGGCATGTATTTTCTTATAATTTCTTGACAGCAGATTAAAACTCAGTGTCCACTGAAAAACAACTAATAAAAATGACCTTACTATTCTCACCATAGAAAAAATAAAATCTAGAAAAATCATCAGATTCTGCATAAGAGCACTCAGAATTTTACAGCCCACAATATTTACTCAAAGAGGAGAAATATATTAAAAATACTTTGAAAACTACTTCATATTCAATATGAAATAAAAGGCTTACAAAATGTTCCAATAAAAAAATCTGCCAGTCCTGACAAACACAATGAATCAAAAAAATATATTGTTCTACCCATTGCCTCTATCACAACTACAATTGAAAAGAATTTATTTTAACGCAACATAATATTTGTTATAAATATATTTAAAATAATAAAAGACTTAATGCAAAACAATGAGTCAAAATTTAGAGGAATTTACTCAGTTACCTGCAATGATTGCCAGAAAGAATATATTGGAGAAACATCAGTAAGTTTAAATAAATGATTATATGAACACAAAAGAGACATTTAAAAAGAAGACAAAACATTAAACACATTAGCTGCTCACCGTAATGAGACTGAGCAGAATCTCTATCTATAAAAGCAGGATGTGTGTGTGTATGTGTGTGTAACGAATGCACAGCCGCAATTTTTGATGGATTTGCACCAAAATTTACATTCACAAAGTTAGCAGGAAGGCCAAGACCAACTTTGCATTTCAAAACTCCCATCAATAGTGGAAATAATCGATTTTTTCATGCTTCTATGGCAATTTTCATGTAGTTTGCAGCCATTTTGTACTAGCCAGAGTGAGAGCCTGTGCTTGATTCAAAAATCGTATGACTTGTACAGTAATCGCTATCACTTGACTTGAAATAATTTTGCCCTTCCTTGCCTTTAAAGGAGTGCCCTTTGCTATGCTGATGTTGCTACATGCCTTAAACAAAAAATATTAAAAAAAAATTTTTTATGGATTTAAAATACCCAGCATCTCTTGTTCATTCACATGTGTAGTTGCATCAACATAAGCAAACCTTGTCTGATGAGGTCCTAAGGGACGAAATGTGTTACATGAAAACTTTTTCCATTTTGTCATATAAAACAATGGCCACCTGCATAAATGTGAAGCTCTTCGATAAAATGAATGGAGCACTATGGCTGCTTGGCATTTGTTTATGCTTGTAAAAACAAAATGCTAGATTTGGCTGACTCAACTTGTCGAATGAAGATAGCTCTGTTGTAGAAGCTCCGACACCAAATCAGTTGGGTTTTGATCCAGGCTTGAGGCATTTGGTTGTCTAGTCGCACTGAGGAGCTGTGATACAGCAAAACAGTACTGTTTGAGAATCACACACACACACACACATATATTTTTTATGAATACACTCCAAGGGGTGCGCAGGATCGCCTCATCAGTGTTTTATATATATATATATATATATAAAGATTAATACAAATTGTCATTTAGCCGATTGATGTTATATTCAGCATCCTGACTTCAGAGTTTTGTAGACAAACTTTTTTGTAATCATTCAATCCACTTGTCAGGAGATTTCAGCAACTGACTGCAGATTCTCATTTTTGTTACTTTTATGTTATGTTAAAAAATAACTTATGTCCCATTTCTTGGTGTGAGGTTGATTTTTTTTACCTTTGTTTGTGTGTGTGTATATATATATATATATATATATATATATACATCGAATGTTGTGGTTATTTTTCCTTTTCATCATTTTCTTGTCTCCTCATTCTCTCCCTCTCCCTTCTTTTTTCTCTTTCACCTTTGAGGGTCAAAGATAATCTAACAATGTCATTTCCGATAACATTGGCCTGAAGAAAAAAAGAAGAAAAAAGAAGAAAAAAAAAAAGAAGAAGAAAAAGGAAGAAGAAGAAAAGGAAGAAGAAGAAAGGAAGAAGAAAAAAGGAAGAAGAAAAAGAAGAAGAAAAGGAAGAAGAAGAAAAAGGAAGAAGAAAAGGAAGAAGAAAAGGAAGAAAAGAAAAGGAAGAAGAAGAAAAAGGAAGAAGAAGAAAAAGGAAGAAGAAGAAAAAGGAAGAAGAAGAAAAAGGAAGAAGAAGAAAAAGGAAGAAGAAGAAAAAGGAAGAAGAAGAAAAAGGAAGAAGAAGAAAAAGGAAGAAGAAGAAAAAGGAAGAAGAAGAAGATAATTTTTTGAAGAGGTAAAAACAAAACAAGCATTTTTGGTAACCATAACCTAACTGGTGGACCTATATTCTCACGGTACTTTCGGCTAACCTTAAAAGTACAAAAAAATCTCCTTTAGCCTACCTCCCACAGCCGAGACATGAACAGAAACCAAAGTACGGTATCTAAATCTTTGCTTCAGATATTTGATGCTAAATAGTTTTTATCACAATTTTGGAGTAGCCTTGTACAAAAAAAGAATGAAGATGATTGATTTGCTATAAAACATATCCAGGATGATGCTCTGTACTGCAATATTTGACTACGGTAGGCCTACTAGTATTGCTCAGAAGCTATATTAAAAAATCAGGTTGGGCATCTCAAGGCGGTGTAACGATTAGCAAGATTGTCTCACTAAAACAATTACGACTAGGTAGTGAGTTTGATCCTCACCAGGTGCCCACTATGTTCAGCCTTGTGCTATGCTTGTAAAATCACTATTAAAAAATCAGGTTTCTCAACGAAAATTTGCAGGGTTGCACTATACATGAAGTAGGCTTATATATGATTATATACGGTATATGCTCAGCATCATCAATAAAACTGTCTGAAGACGTTCATGATGAACAAAAGTTACAATGCAATTTTTCATCTTGTCCTTTATGTACTCAAATAGAAGCGGCCATTAAAAAGCTCTTTATCAAACTCACGTAAGATATTTTTAATCCCTTCTTAGGAACATTTTTCTGCAGAGAGGCTGCATGTGTCGGAGAGGCTGAATGTGTACAAGTGCAACAATCACAAAGATTTCATTTTGACAAAAAAGTCTCTACAAAGCTTATTTTAAAGACAGACAGGATGAACATAATTTTATTCATGCGTGTGTTTTTTTAATATGCATAAAAATGGTTGGTTCTCTGTCCCACTCCAGTAATTACCTGACTCTTTCTGCTACCCTCTACATTTACAAGAACCAGATCAGGCCCAAAATGAAGTATTGTTGTCATATTTGGGCAGGAGACACCCAGACTTCACTCTCCAGCCTTGATAGTGTCCAAAAGTGTCTACAAGCCGTTGTGGGTGACAAATTATTTTCTACCCTCCAACCTCTCTCCCACAAATGGGATGTGGCAAGCATCTTGCTGCTCTGTTGCTACTTCCACAAAAAGTGCTCGGATGAACTACATTCCCTGGTCCCACTAATTCAAACCTTCATGGCAAGGACACACCCTACCACCTACATAGCAGCATACCATCCACATTGCCTCCATATTCCATCAGTAAGAAGTTTCACTCAAACAGCTTCTTTCTGCAAATCCCTACACTGTGGAACCGATTCTCAAGAGGATGTTTGACCTATCATTACAATTTTAACCTGTTCAAGGCTAGGGTCAAATGTTAGCTTCCCCTCCTATCAGCACAAATTGCCTCCTAATATAACCCCCTACCTCAAGAAGCCTTGTAAAGGGTAAATCTTAATATAAAAAAAACATGTGATATGTTAATAAATACAGAGTTAATTCCCTTGTAGCTCTTTATAGCAACCCATCTCCTTTGAATAAAGCATAGTGCCTGCAACTTCTAGCAGTCAGAGTTGGTCATGCCATGGGTAGCTACTGATAAGCACAGAGGGCATTCTGTTGTGTTCTTCACTGTTACTCACAGTTGTCCAGCATTAACATGATACATAACCATGTATAAATATTCAATACATACTGTCCCATTTAGTCATTACATATATTTCTTTGAAATGATTTCTATTCTAGTGATCTAAAAATCACCAGAATGCAGCCAACAAAATCTTACCTACTACACACACAGCACATGGTTCTTTCTAATGACTAAGTCAAAATACTTGAACAAACAAACAAAAAAAAAAACTCTGGGCAATTTACCCACAATTCTGATTTCAAACAATATTTAATAGGAGTAGGTAAGTTTGCCTAGTATCCTGTTCACACTCCTTCTTGGTCTTTTGAACCAGAATAGAGGTTCATCTCTTGTTTCCTGTTTAAGATTGGGTTTCTTCTAAATTCTACTTCAACTCTATACTTCTTACATCTCTACCTGAACTCTGAAATTTTATTCACTAATGAAGTCTTGACCTCAAGTCTAGAATTAGCTATCTTTACTGTTATCTTGCGCTTTCTTACACAGTAACCCTCTACCTTGAGTGACCCTTGTGCCTTGTATTGGGTGAATAAAAAAAAAAATTTTGAAAGTTAGAAAAGTACAATAAAAATAATTAAACAGAGACTTTCTTGGTTGAATGTAATAAAATTTAGAAAAGTATATTTCTGAGATGATTTATTGCAATTATTTACACTATTTACATTGTTCAGACTGTTGTCCTCATCTTTGTTGCAATTTTCACAACGTTTTGGACACTGTACACTCTGGCCTTCTTCAGGTGATTCAAACTTCAAACTGAACCCTTTATTTCATCCACCAGGGCATATGATTCTAGTTCCACATGCCATGCCTCTTCCAGATGTCTCGGTATCAATTATCTCCCTTTAACTCACCTCACCTGTAGCCAGGTTCTGAACTCAGAACTCTTTGGATTCAACCAATACTTTCATTCATTGGGCTATGTGTCCTTGAAGAAGGCCGTAGTGTACAACAGCTGAAACGTGAATATAGCAATGAAGACGAGGAAAACTGTCTATACAATGTGGACAGTCTAAGTAATGAGACTTGTTTGGATAAATTCTGGCTGACAAAATACACCTCATAGTGTATCTTGTGTCCTGAACTGAATGCCCATCTCAAATCTCATCATTCTTCTGGGAGTAAAGATTTTTAGTTATGGTTTCGGTTTGCAAAAGTTCACTAGTGTAATTGGTTCAAGAAATTTTTGCTTTCTACACTTTCGGTTATTTAACCAAAGTAAGTATAACATTGATTTATTTCCTTTGGACTTGCCATATTATTTTAGGTTTTCATTGGAAAAATAAACATTTTTGCATAGAAAAAAAAAAAATTTAATTTAGGAAACCTAGTCTTGTTCCTTCAAAGCTAATTTAACACTATTCATAAATATTTCTTCATGAACTCTGTAGTCATAGAAGCAAATGCACCGATGATGAACTTTATTTCTGAAAAATCTGTAAATGAAAAAAAAAAATAAAATCTTTGCTGAATTTTTACCATACTTCTTATTCTGAAATGTAACATTTAAATTTTACTTGGTTTAAAGAATTTATTAATTCTATTTTTTTCTGCTGATTTTTTTTTTATCGTAAATGTTACCAAGTCTATCTGAAGAAACTTACTATATATACTCATGTATCATGTGACTTTTGAAGACCTAATTTTGAAGCTCATTTTAAGAAGTTTGCGTCATACTTATTATAAAACCCAGGTTGTGTGGGTGTGTCTGTCTGTACGTTTATATATTGGATTGGATTTCCTACATTTTTCAACCGATTTCAACAAAACTTCACAGGACTACATAAAATTAGCTTGCGATGGTTCTGACAGTGCCAAAAATTGGAAAAACAATTGTTTTTGCACAAAATCAATTTGAAAACACAATCAAGAGGCATTAATAAAAGGGGGACAACTCATATCAATTTATACTTATTATAAAACCCAGGTTGTGTGTGTGTGTGTGTGTTCCTTTATTTATGGAATCGGATTTCCTACATTTTTCAACCGATTTCAACAAAACTTCACTTTTTTTTTTTTTTGCAGGTAGTGTTTCTTATTGTCTTGCACACTTTTTTCTTTATTTTTACACATTCAGAATGCTTTAAAAATTCCATTTACAAGACAATTGTTTATAATAAAATTCTATTCAATCGGTAGACTCATAACGATTAAAAACAATGTTTTGTTTGAGTTTTGGGTTTGACCAATTAAATAATAAAAAAAAAAAAAAAACTAATTAAGACATGCATGTCCATCAACCTTAAACAATAATCTTTGTCAATTTTATTTTTCAGTCTTTATGATGGTCAATACTTGATCTATCGCTTACTGTTACATCCCCGGGCAACGCCAGGCTCTACTGCTAGTGAGATATAAAATTAACGTATGAACTGCTGGCCCTTGATAAGCCAGTAACCAAACTATATATCTATTTACTGTAATAAAAAAGTACAGCTGAATTTAAAATAAACATTGCACATTACATGAGTGTATAGAGTAATTTTAATAATGTTTTGCTATGTTTAATTTCAGTAGTCAATTGTTGATATTGCCTGATGAGTGGACTGAACAATTACAAAAAAAGTTTGTCCATGTAAGCTTTGGGGTTGAGGTTCTGAATATAACATAAGTCATCTAAGTAACATTTTATATATAGAGTACAGGTTATCGATCCGTTGGTATATAATCCGGGTGGATCTTAGTAATAATAATTATTAAAACTGATCCACAGAGAGCTCAATGTTTTCATTCTAACAGAGCATATGTATTTTTTTTTACAGCAAAAAAAAAAAAAATATATATATATATATATATATATATATATATATATATATATATATATATATCAAACTTTAAACATTGTTTTTAGTGGATGCTCAAGATTGAGTAGACATTCCATTTATTTATTTATTGAACAGTATATTTATTTTCATCTACCAGCCTGAATATTAGAGAAATCTTATTAAAGAAAGATATGCACTCTCTGGCAGGACTTGAACTTTCATCACTATAGCCAGATATAAACCGTTGTTAGGTCTGACATTCCTTAACCAAATTCAAACAGTGTGGTGAAATAGGACCAAGAAATTCTAACCTACTTGAGGTTAAGAGGTCATGATGTTTCGCTTGCCCACTCAGAGCAACCATTTGCAATTTAGGTAAAGTGTATGATATGGTTTTTGTTTCATTAAAATTGTTACAGCATGAACACTTGATTCAAACATTCAAATGCATATAAAATCTCAGACACCTAACAAGATTGGAAGTGATGGGTCTGAAGCTCTGTCAATTGTAATAAAATGTCAGTGAAGAAAATATATACCAAGACAAAGAGGATTAACTTTTCAAGCCAACTTAATTGGTATGAGAAATACAATTAGCAGGTCAATTTCAAATTTGGGCCAAGGCCACTAG